AGTTTGTTTCTGCCACCACAGAAGAGTTGAAGGAAGTCCTCGCCGGCAGGCTTGAGCCGCCTCCGCCCTTCAAGGAGGAGGATACCGCTGTACCCGACGAGGCACACCTCGACGAACCCCATAGCATCCAACCAGACACTACTCCCGCACCTACAGTCGAAGCTACAGTTCGCGATAACCACTCGGACGAGGACGACTTCGCTACCCCTCCCACCTCTTCGCCGACATCGCCGGCACGAGCGCGTTCGCAGACGCTAGCCAATGAGACATGGCCTGTCAAGCAAGGTGTTCTGGACCGATCAAATACCAAATCAGCTTCGTTGCATCCTGTGGTGTGTTCCAAGGTCGCGGCCGACAACAAGGTCATTGAGATCCAGTTGCATCACAACCTTTTCACCTGCTTCCCGAATTCACTGTCTTTCTTCGCCGATTCTCTTGCCGCCCTGTCTCTTGCGCATAACCAACTGGTCGGCGAATCTTATTTGACAGAGGAGCTTGACTTGCCGGCCCTGCGTGAGCTGAACCTCGTCAGCAACCACATCACCAGCCTTTCGCCGTTGACCACGCACTTGGTTGCCCCGCAGCTAGAAAAGATGGACGTTTCGTTGAATCGCATCACTGCTCTTCCGCCTGACTTGCGCTCAGTTTTCCCCAGGCTCGTCGTCCTTTTGGCAGCAAACAACCACTTGATCGAGCTCGACCCAGACACCATCAAGGGCATGGAGGTTGTCGATGCTGGTAATAACGACATTGCACACTTGAACCCGAGACTTGGCCTTCTAGGTGGCACTGGCGGGCTCAAGCGTCTAGAGGTCGCTGGCAATCGCTTCAGAGTTCCTAGGTGGAACGTTCTTGAACGGGGTACGGACGCTACCCTGCGGTGGCTGAGAGGGCGGGTGCCGGTAGCGGAGATGGCATCGTGGAAGGTCAGCGAGGGTGACACGGGCAACACTTCCGACACCAGCCTCGATGATGTAGATTAAGGGCACTGGCTGGAAAGGTGTAGCATCATTGGAAGGGTTTTATGGGGGAGGGCTTTTCGGTTCCAGGTTGATTTTGGGGGCTGCTTTGGGGGCTTTTAGGAGCCGTCGTTTCGATTCACGCACATACTTTTTTCTTACTCGTGGCATCACGATGTCATGTTGAGCTTTCCATGGAGTTGAGGGGAAATTTTTGCGATCACCATCGCCTGATATCCTGTACCAGTACTGTATAATACTATAGACATAATATGGGACGGTGGCATTCCGTCCCAGCAAGGTTTCTGTTTCCAACGGTCTCTTGATGTCTGTTTCGTATTGACTTTTCACAATGCGTTGGTAGCGTATGTTGCTATAGAGGTCCTCGAGATTGTGCTGAAGTCTTTCTCCGATTCTTTCGTCGTGGGATACTAAACATCGCATCCAAATCCTCGATATGATGGTCTTCTACTCTTCAGTCCAGCATCCCACATCCATCAGACGTAGCTTCGCTCTATTAGCAGCCAGCAGCAAGAATAATTTCTTTCGCCTGACTTCTCTAATCAGTACTTACAAAGTATAACCCGTCACAATCTCACACAATGGCAACTGCAATGGCTTCAATCCGGGCGGCTACGTCCCGTCCCATCAAGAACGTCAACTCCTTCTACACTGACTACCTCCACATCGTCAAAGCCTCCGGCGAACAATCTGGCCGCGAGATGAACTACGACGAGGAAAAGCAGCTGCCCTCGCCACCCCAGGGAACCACCACCGACGAGGACTCTGAACCCCTCACCTGCTTCGATGCCACAGCCATCGTCCTCGTCGTAATCTGGGCCGTCTTCTTGGTCACCTTCGGCGCCTACACCTTCTGTAACGTCATCCGCGAGCCCTCGGAGCAATACGTCTTGGACCCCGACGTCTTTAACACCATCGCGGCGGCGGTATATCTCCTCCACGGTGCTCTCTATTTCTGTTATTCGACCTATGTCGGTCTCGTTTTTGCAGGACCGATAGAGGGGAAGGACAAGACGGACAGCGCTGCCGAGGCGTATGCCGCTGCACAGACGTTCTCGGATGATGATTCCGGCGGCTGGTGGTGGGAGCCGTGTCTTTCCGCTGAGGCCATCGACAAACTCATCCGCATTCAGATCGCCGTCTTCATCGTCGCTTTCTGGCCTGTCTTTGTGGTGTACAACTTTGCGGCCGCCGTCTGCCATGACTTCAAGAGCCTCACAACCACTGGAGGCGTTGATCAGGAAATTGCTCCCCGTGCCGTCTGCTCTGCTGGCAACCGCGCTCAGGAGAATCAATGTAAGGGGAACTCTGAGATTTCTGAGAAGAAGCCGTTGCTCGGACAGAGGCTGACTGCGTCAGAGATTGTGGCGATTGAGAATGAGGCGGCGGCGGCCGAGGTGTGGAGGATGTATAAGGCTAGGATGGTTGAGCAGAAGTCGTATGCTCCTGCTGTCCAGCGGTAGGGGTTGGACTCTTCATGTCTGGCTAAGGGGTTGCTCATGGCATCGTGGTTACATCATCTAGTGACCATGAGCAAGTTAACTATATTCATTATCGAGAATTGCAAGTGTAGTGAATTGAAAGTCATTGAAATAGTTTTTTTGTTGTTGTGAGTGCTGTGATACATCTTCAGTCCATGCAAGCGCTTATGGCTCAATTTGAACTCGAACTGGACATCATAAGTTGCCCATCGTGAGATCCTTTTATGACTCACATCAATCGAATCGTGTCAGAACAGCCTGCAATATCAGCGTATAGTCTCAAGCATTCTGACGAGCATGGCCAACCATGAAGAGCCTTCACCTTCTTCAGATTTCCTTCGGGAGAGGTTTGACATTGCTTCGTTCCAGTCCTCTTCACGTTACCTCCCAGCCCCCCTTCCCCACGCCATTGATCACCTACCGTCTGCATAGCGTTGCCAGATGCACGAAGAAATCTCTTCCACACTGACACATCTATTGTGTACACCTTTGGGGCTTACTTTCAACTGACCTGGCCGGACTTCACGAGGGGATAGAGACAGAATGCCCCTTACACAATCCAGCACCACCGCCGTCATTGCCTCAAAAGACGGTAAATTCCTGTTCCTGAAAGTTTAATCGGGAGTAGTGAACTTTCCAGGTGAATCATAGCAAGGTTGCGGCTTCCAGCATTTGCCATACAAAGCGGATGTTGACCACAGAGGTATAGTCTAACTTCACGACACCAACGGATAGACTACCTATCTCCGATTAAACCGTGAGCCCTGACCCTAGGTCGTTGGAACGCAATCGTAGATAGACATGTTCTACCCTATATGAACCCTTCTCGTTTGTCCCAGCCTGGCCAGCATTGTGCTTGAACACATCGTTCTCGACATCACTCCTCGCCACTAAACTCTCTCTTACGATTATCTCATTAGGAATACAAAACAAACCACACCCAGTCACTGAGACCTGAAGTTACCACAACCACTTTCATCAAACAACACAAGTATTCCTTCCTCAGCCTAACAAAGATGGCTCCTACTACTTCCGCTCCTGTTGCCGGCCTCAGCGCCGGCATCCGGGACGACGATTGCAACTTCCGGAACACCATAATCATAGCGGCGGCATGTGTGGTCTACACTATTTCGGCCCTTGTCTTCTACGCCTTCCTCAATAGGTGCCGTTTCTTCCCTAGATGGTACGAGAGCTCCGATAAAAGACTGCAACACAAGGTCTTGCTGCTCTTGTGGCTTCCTGCTACCTTGATCCTCTGGCCCCTGTCTCTCCTCTTGATTATATCCTCTAAATGCGGCTTCGACGTCGGCGATTGGTTGGCCAATCTCTATCGACGCATGAACACGACCAGCAGAGCCCTGAGTCGTTACATCAGCGGAGAGCCCAGGGAAGGAATGGAGCTCGACAGATGGGAAGAGATAGAACTCGAAGAGGTGAACTCTAACGTTCTTCGAAAGAACACCACCATGGGAGTATTCATCAATCCCTTCGACGAGAGAGGTCGTTCAAGTACCCGCAGCTCAAGCGGATCCAACAGTAGGGACCCGTCACCCACTGATTGTCGGACATCCCCTTCAGCTACGGAGATATCACCGGTCAAGTGGTATGAGAGGCTTTCTTCACCCGCCAAAATGGGAGGGACTCTCAACCAGGCGGGCTCCAGCAGCAACGTTGGTCCGTCGTCGACGGATCGCACGAGGAGCGAAAGTCCCTATTCAGACGACGGCGATTCTCGACAACCGACGACCACTCCGGCTGAGAGTGCGGACGTAATATCGTCGGGTTCGAGCAGGAAACCTAAGACGACACGGAAGTTGCAGACTATTCCTGAGCAGACCGAAAAGGTTGGAGCATGGGAAATAATGGTTCTCTGAGCGAAAAGACCGCCACATCGCGGGCAGGACTCTGCTTAGGTTTCTTGTTTCGGAGATCCATTACGCGATGGAAGCACTCATTATGGCATAACGAGAGTTGTTCGATCACATCACATCGGCATTCACAGTTTGAGCTCTGGTCCTGCGCTTGCATTGGTATGCCCCTTATTGGAAAGATTACAGTTGTGATTGCTGGATGGGATTGAGCGGTGAAATTGGCGGCACCCAGAAACGGACCTATGATGTGGGCAAACTTTATTAGTAGTTAAACCCATATCCTCTCAACGGAGATGAAAGACCTGCTGTATATGCTGAGGAACAAAAGTCTGGTTTGGACTTGAACAGGCAGATGACAAACGTCTTCTGATACATGTAGATAGGTAATGTCAAGGTGATGACACTCCTTCTACAGTAGCTTCCTTGGATTTACATGGTAGACGTCGTCACACAACGTAATCATTCAGTTTCGCGGAGGTTGCATCCCTTCAATTTCTCGTTTCTGAGAGACTCATTATCAGTCTTTTTATCGTCCCGTGTCTTGAGTATTCTCGAAGTGGCGGCCTCATCAGATTGAGATGATTCCAGGCTATGCATACCTTGTGCGCAAGATCATGCCGTCAAAAGTAGCTTTGGTGAAAGCCGACGGGCTCTCAGAAGCTTCCGAACTACTGGATGTACAACATGTCCCAAGATCCACTAATCTTGAGCCAGTAACTCTGTTGAATCGAGCAATCCATAATTTGGAATCGTTCCCAATGAGATTCTGTAGCCACTTCCAAAAGACACATTAACATGGTGATTTGCCAGTTGCCGGACCCTTCAGATTCCAAGTGGCCACCAAGAGCAATAAACTTCATAACGCGAAACTCGGGTTGACTGTCACGCCAGTTGAGATCTAACCATATGTGACCCAGTGGTGTATCTGCTTCACATCCTTGATGTCTGTCATGGTCACGGATGTCGTATGACACGTTTTGCTGACCCGCTTGACGTGTGGTGGTATCAAAAGTGGCCACTTCGTGGTGCCATGACAAGTTGGCCCTTTGAGTTGCGTTGCTTTGGCTGCAAATGGTTGGGAATACGGCGTATAGACCGTTGCGATTTCGGATTTGTTGCGGGCGTGCCGAAATACAAAGATATGCTGAGCTCGTGGTGATTGACATGGAAGGCCAACCAAGATCTACAAACATTCCGGAACCTGTGCTTGTGGGGAATCCAAAGCCATCGCTTGCAGGAAACTCCGACAGCTCTGGCACTGGCTGCCGGAGCTGATAAATAGGATGCGTCGTTGATCGATTCCTCAAGTCTCGTGGGCGATCGCCTCCAAGAATCTGACTTGTGCGAGCTATGCGAATGAGGACTCTATCGAAGGAGACTACATCATCCCAGCCAAGCCAGGACCAACTAGGGAAATTCGGATTTCGTAGATGGGGGTTATGTTCGGCTGTCCGCCAGCAGAAAGTCTGGTCGAAAGCACACGTTGGCAGGCCGAAGTGGAACATCGACCGCTTCCCGTCCATTACGCCCTCCTGCCTGTGGAAGACGCCCTGAAATGCTGAGATCTTGTCTTTTGCATAAGTGAAGCTTCGCTTTGAGTAGGCTTCTACGGCAGCAAGAAAGCATTCGAGGCTTTCCCCCTGCGGAATATGTAAGAGACTGCCTAGTCCGTGGAACTGGTTGCCGCTAAGTTTTGACGTGTAACTTGTCTTCGATAGTACTGTACCGTCCAAGTGATATGTGGCCTTCTGACACTGAAAGAAAATTCCCTTGCAAGTGAAAAGAACTGCTCGATGAGATAATACTTGTTCTTGGTAACACCAGCCTCGACTACCCCAGGATGATTCTGCCAAGAGCGTATTAAGATCGTCGATAGAGTTGCACTCTGACGAAACAGCCGCGCTTCGCTGCACTTCGAAACCCTCGTCAGCGTGCTTTGCAGATACTGCCACAATCGTGAACTTAGCCGAAGAATAGATGGACCGCATTCGCAGAATCTGGAGCTTCCTATCACGGGCAGAGTCTTGCAAAATGCAGAGCGCATCTACCCATAGGTAGATTTCTCCGAGCTGTTCACAGGTGATCATGGCGTCTCGGACTGTAGTTGGGATTTGGTTCCACACCAGATTGAGACCTTGTGGGCGAGACAGCTCTCGAGCGTTCGCAGTCGTGAGCTTAGCTTGTTCCACGTTGCCCCAAACATATGACAGAACAGTAAAAGGTGGGTCATCATGAGCATCTACGACACATCGTTGACGCACATCAATGAGCCGAAATCGAACCCCCGGGAAATCGCGCCACTTCAAGGAGTCCGGACGGCATTTCTCGTGGTCGCAGCTAGTTACGCAACAAGCAATTCTGTTCCGTAGTGCTTCAAACCGAACAGTGGAGACTGCTGATATACCACTAGAACGAGAGTTATTTGATCCGGCCGTTATCTTCGGCGGGCCTTGCTTCACGATGCGCCTGAGGACGCGGCTCTGGTACTTGTTCCTGGAAGCCTTTCTGGGTGAGAGTTTCATGTATTTCTCTCTCCATTCAGCATAAAATTGATTCAAGTCGTCCGAGCTGTAATCCCAAGGGCAGTGGATGCATTCGTAGGGCCAAAGGCTTCGGTAAAGTTCACGGGCATTCTCCCAAATGTACTCATTCCAGTAGCCACTAGACCTGTGAATATTAGGCAGTCTTCTCAACCTTCAATGTTGAATGACGTGAACTTACTGGATCTTGATATTTTTAGGGCAAAGGGAGAAGGCTCGAAGTAAGATGCAAGAAATCGTCAAGTCGTATGGTTTCCGGTCCGTCGCCACCGAATTGTCCGCATCCTCACAGAAGTAAAATGGCTCATGGCCTGCGTCGCCTAACCCATTGAAGATGATGCCCCTTTTGACAGTAGCGACAGGTGCCGAAATAGCCTCAGAGGCTCGATGGGGCAAAGGTCCAACAAGGAGAACATCAGACGCTTCCATGATTAACAGCGCATCTTCGATAAACCGGGGCCACACTTTGCGCCATTGTGGGCTGTTCCAGTCTTTGACGTCGTAGCAGTGGGTATAGCTGCCGCACCTTGGCATTAGTTTGGTCTACTCCATGACGATAGATATGTTCTTCAGTCACTGACCCCATTGTGTCACATTCATTGACACAGTGCAATCGAAAGACAGTTTGGAGACTCGTGAGTTCGATAAGACCCGGTTTGTCAAAATGTGTTAGGTGTGGTGTGACGTTGATACAAATAAATGGACGTCAAGCATGGCAAACACGAGAACAGAATGGTACAATCGGCAGCCGAACAGCACAAAAGTACCCTGCAGGGCGACTGGATAATGTAAAAACTCCATTCTTGGCAGTGCTAGCAGTTGGACCAACGCAAAAGGCTCCGTGGACGTGCGTGTAAGGTGTGAGCCTACAGATAGAATTTCATAGCATCAATTACACAGATTTTTCTTCGCTAAAAGTTGAGTTCGTTCAATTAAATACAAAGCAAAGGGACGGATCGCAGTCAAGCTAAATGACCTCCAAAAGCGAGGAGTCGCCATCGAGGTAACGAAAGGTTGTTGTCAGCAAAAGGAATGCGTCGAGGGGGAATCGAACCCCCGGCTCCCCGACGCTGCTGGATGGCAACGGAGAATTTTACCACTAAACCATCGACGCTTGTTGAAAATATTCCTCAGTCTAGCAGCCTCTGAAGCTCGACGCGCCAGCCCGCGAGCCGGGCTCGAAGTCCTCGCGCAGAGAAGCAGGGCAGGGTTTGAGGCTCGCGCGCAGAAGAAGAGCAGACGCCCTCAACTGACGGCCGAGGGGGCTGGAGTCGAGGAATATGCATGCAGGGTTGCGAAGCGGTGGTCGATATCGAGACTAGGGACGTCCGCAACATCACTGCGTCCATGAGTTATGCAGAGCTCAAGAGCAGGGCAATGCCAAAGAGACTGTAGATGAAATGTCAATGGTTGATTGGGGTTGGTATCTGCCTGTCCAAAACTCCGCACACTCACAAAATCAGTTCAAATAGTTTGGGAAATCCAAACCGTCTACCTGGAACTCATTCATCAGCGTGGTCCAGTCGGGGAAATCCTGCATCATGCTGGCCCAATCCATTCCGTCGGCGGCCGCCATGCTATCCAGTCCACTATCAACCATGCCCTCCGCTTCCGATCTATCGTCAGTGCCACCAGGCGTCGGGTAGGATTCTTTCTCGGCGCTACCGTTGGCAGTCGCTCCGCCGACAACGACGGCGCCACCGCCGTTCTGCTGGTCAAGACCCTGTCGTATCGCCGTTGCCTTGGCTCTCAATGTTTCTAGAACCGTCATCTTCGCCGCGGGCCCGAAACCGGCGTTCACGCTCTTCAAAAGCATAAAGCTATCGTCCACAGCCTTCCACGCCCTATCGACACTCGGCCCCTCCGGTCTCACGCACAAGTGCCACAGGACGTAGAGAAGCATATGGTACTGGGGATACGCCCGCATAGACCACCGATACTGCCGCAGCAGCTCGTCCGACGCCAGGCTCATGCCATCCTCGAGAATACCGAGCGCCTGGAGAAGATTCTCCTCCGTCGCAAACGAGTCGCGCGCCTCTGGGTGCTGGAGGTTGAGCCACTGCTGGCGCGTGACCATGTCGACTTTGCGAATGATGAACCGTGCAACAAGAAGGGTCTGGCGTTGTTGAGGGATGACGGGATTGCAGTGTCGAAGGAACCCTTCCGCGTACTCGTGAAGTTCTTGGACGACCTGGACGCGGACGGATTCCGGTGTTGGGTTTTCGGCCCACGACGAGGCCATGGCCGCTAGACGGTGCCATGTGCGAGTCACTTGGATGTTGATTAGTGCCAGCGTCAACGTCGTCCAGCCGGTGCGAGAGTGCGGGAGCTCCTTCATCTCGGGATACAGGTCTCCGTCGTCCAGATTTGACGGGAAGCTGACGCCTATTTGTAGGTTGAAGCTTGAAACGTTTGAAAAGCCATAGTCCTCTGCTGCTCGACCATCCCGCGCCACGAGATGCCACCAAATGCGTCTACGAATCTCGGACTCAAAGGGTGAGAGGCCGAGCTTAGTCCCGTCTCGGTGTAGACCGATCGATTGGGCTGCTCGGATGGCCAGTCCGTTCAACGTCCACAAGCCTCGACCGGGGTTGTGTATCCTGAGAGCCGCCTGCGCCTAGTATAAGCACAAGAAAGGATGTTGTATAGTGTGGGTATACATACCAAGTATACAGACAAGGCTTCGAGCAGTTTCACCGAAGGATGTTCAAGAAAGTCGGCCTTGGCAAAAGCTTGCTCGAGGCCTGTCTTGAATCGATGAAGGCTCGTCACCTTGTCTTCGCCCGTGAAAATCTGGACCGAATTGGGCTCCAGAACAACAGTTGAGACAAAGAAAATGGCAAACATGACCGCTAGTGCTTCTGAACTCGCGTTGCGAGGGTCGTCGATGGCCGTGTAGACGAGAACTTCTGCTGTCGGCCGGTGGAGTATCTTGTTGCAAATCTCGATATTGTCGACATAGTTCCTCCATAGTTCTATGGCGCCGTACTTTGAAGGAAGGAGCTCAGCAAGATCTAGTTTGAGATCTGGTGCTGAGAGAATGCCCATAGGATTAAATGGCGACAGCTCCGCCGTAGCTGCCGACTCACTACTCTGTGGTGTAGTGAGAACTGATTGAATGTCATGTTCCTTTTGATGACTTGTCAGCCGACTGTCCCATGCCTCGAGTGAATGGAAGAATCACTTACCTCCTCAATGACTCGAGAAATCAGAACATCGTCAAAGTATTGACTCGACGATCCCTTCCGTAAAAGAATCTCATCGTTGACACTCTTCTCCTGCGAACCCGAAGCTGGCGTTGTGGTTGGCCTGGATGCTGACGGATTAGAGTGATTTGGTCTCAAACCCAAACCAAAGGCTGTCCCGGGCGTGGAGGCCGATGGTGAAGCCCGAAGAGGCGGAAGCTGCTGCTGTTGCTGGCTCGCCGCTCCGGCCACAAGCGTCTTCTCTAGGTCCGAAATCCGGCTTGCAACGTCGGCGATGGTGGTCTTTCGGACACGGCGTATCGGCTGGCCCGCTTGTGGATAGTGACATTGGAAGCCGCCACGGGCACACGAAGCGCAAGGTTGCTTCTTGTCGCAGCGAATCTTGCGGCGGTGGCACAGCTGACAGGACCGCTCGATTTTGCGGCCGCCGCTGCTGCTCCCGATGCCGAGGCGGGTCGCGCTGCTGCTGTCATTGCTTCCGCTCTCATCCCCGGCGGCCGTCGGGGGCTGGGATTGGCCCGGCTGCGGCGTGTCGGGTGCTTGTGTGGGCGAGGTCCGGACAGCTCCGGAGGCAGATGTTGGATCCGGTCCCATGGGGCCGGTATGGAGAATCCGGGTGACACCAGATCCCGATGCGATACGACGCAACACAAGATCGAATTCGACAGCCCGTTGCTATTTTGTCTTGGCTTGCACAAATATGATTCGACTCGCGGCAAACTTGCTGGGGGCTGAACAACAAACAGCTCTTCCTTCCGTCGAGGTGGGTGATGGACTCTAGGTCGATGGTCAGGATCCCTCGGTCTCGGCGCTTACGAGAGATCCGAGGCCGAGCGAACTATCCCACAGGCCCCGCTCCTCCTGACTCGAGATGTAAAGTGCGAGCGCCGCCCAGACAAAGTGCGAGATGAAGCGCGCAAAATCCGGTGGCAGACCGCAGCACCTGCTTGTTTGCCTAGGGAGGCTGACTGTACCCATGGACCATGAGCCATGGGACATGGCTTGACCGCTTTCAGTTCTTCCCGTCGTCAGCGCGCCCGCAGAAGGCTTGATGACGGAGTAGACTCCGTCCGCATGCGTCCTAGTATCAAGCTTTGAACAAGTCCTTTAAGCTTCGCCGAGGTCCCCGAACGCGTACTATGTAGGGCGTCCCTTTATTTTTCCAGCCACCACGTGTCTGATATTTCTGGGTTCTCTGATCTTTGTTAATCTAGAGGGATTGTCTGATCCGTCGTCTTTGAGACCGGTATAGAGGCTTTCTTGATTAGATGCTTCAATGTCTCAATGTCATATGCGACTCGGGGGTTTGCCCCTCTTGTGGGAATATGTCACCGGGCAAGCCCGTGAAGTATGCAGCGAGAACCTTGCTGCATACTATGTTCGCGGCTGCAGCCCCTGTGCTTCAATCTATCATTGATGCCAGTTGAATAGCCATATTGACAATGGTTACAAAGTCGCCTTAAGAGGCAACTTGCCTCGGTACGGGCTGCCGAAGAGGAAAGAGTTGGCGTGTCAAAAGGCCCTTGATCAATATCAATAAGGTTCAACATGCTGGGAACATCCAAAAAAAGATCCATGAACATTGAAGACCATTGACACGGTACCATGCAGAACTTACTCGTTATCAAATCTCCGACTATCACTGACACGGTGAGTAATAACTAAATGGATCGACCCAGCCAGAACCTTTTCGTGTTAGTTCGTGGGGTTCCGCGCCGCTCAACGTCCATTATCCGTATCATCAGGGCATCGGGTTAACTGAGTTAGGTACGGACGCGCATCCTCCGAAGCTTCAATTGGGACCAACGTCGTAGAAATGCATGCTCAGTACCAAACCTCAGTCTTGTCTACACAGCAAGTTTCGATGATAGCCTTCAACATAATTTCCCTGACCCTTGACTCTTCCGGACGGATCACTACCGAGGCGATGGTAAGCTCCCGCGATGGCGCAAAGGGGGGCTACTGGCTATGCCCCGCAGACTTATTCTACACAAAGATGCTTTTCGAGCGTTGGAGTTCATCCTCATCGACCAGCCTCGAGGGAACTTGACTGCCCTCACACGCAACCTAGGTACTCCGTGGGGTATGGGGTCTTCAGGGTGAACTTACCCACCGTGTAACCCGTGGACCGGATGGCACTTTAGGAAAAAGTGACAAAATCAGAAATCGTACGAACTGAAACGCAAACAACGACTCTTCGTCTAGCATGTGGCATATGGTGCCATTCGTTGCGGGACGGAGTACACTATCACTCTTTTGCAGTACAGACGGACGTACTGTATTTAACTTTGAGGGCGCGTGATAGTTGATCCCCGTTTAGATTTAGCGAGGAGCGAACAAGGTTCTCGGCTACACAAGGGCCTAATTCATGCAAAGTCTGAGCGCACGCCCAGGACGTGTGCTGGCATGAAACGTCAGGTACCGCCATTAGGCGCGACATAGACTTGCGGGAGCTTCTTTTAGAAGTGTCGCGATTCGATCATCAGGTTGAGGTTGGGCAGGAAACGATCAGACATGTCAGTTGCACTGAAGAGGCCAGGCGATCAGAGAATGAACGGGGGGTATATGGAGATTGTGAAGTCTGTATTGGTAATGAAACGAGAGAATGGTATCACAAACCCATAGGTAGATCATGATGTCTCTTTGGGGGCCCCTCCCATGGTGGGCAGACACCTTTCGTAACCTTCGGATTCCTACCGAGGCTTCTAAAAACCCGTTCCCTTTTTTGAGCATTGCTGCAAAAGTCCCGTCATGCTCCTCTGCATCCCGCAGTCACCGCCGTGCCATAGAGAAAAGGAGAAGAAAAACCACAAGAGTGTAGTGCAGGCCTCGACTCCTTGACGAGGTGCCTCCACGTTAAGCCAACGAACGAGAAAAAAAAGACAAAGAAAACTCAAATCCTCCGTGGAGTTGCCTCACGGCAATCGTACCAGGAGGAGTATTTCCCATCAGCCGTGTACATAAAACAGAATGATATCTCACCGCCTCGCCCCAAAGCAAAAGTAGAATAAATCCATAAGTCTTGAAGCAAGTCCAGATCAAGAGAAGAAAGAAAACCTTAAAAGGGGACCGCTCCGCTATACGCCCACCGAGATCGGCGGCAGAGTTTGCATGAAGTCGAGCCAAGATGCTCCTGGTTGGTTGTCCCGAATATCCCACACGGCTTTCAGGAATGTTTCCATGCTGCTACGGTACTTGCTGTTGCCGCTATCGATGAGCGACTTGATGGCATCCATGGCAGTCTCCCGCTCAGCCGCGTCCTTTGCTTCGATGGCTGCAAGAGTGTACGGAAAGCTGACACAGCGTTGCTTGTCTTGCGAGACTGTCAACGTCATCTGCAGGTCTGAGATGATGCTCTTTGCCATTGCAGATGCCATGTCATCCTTTTCGCCAAACTTGTACCTCAATCGGTGGATGTACAGCATTGCTGCCGTCTTGTAGATGCGGCTTTGGGCCAGCATGTGGATGACTTCGCTCGTGGTAAAGCGGTTTGTAAAGTCTGGAGGGATGACCGGCTGCCATGCTTCGATTTCTTGCTCCACTTCGTCCAATGCTTGCGTCTGTTCTTCGACGTCGACTTCGTGGTAGAGATGATAGCTGATGCGGCACAAGTCGTACATGTGTTGCAGCAATGGCATACACACGCCAACATACGCATCGACATGGCCCGCTTCGGGAGGTGCGATTCCACACACTGGAAGTTCGCGCTGCATCAGGCATTCGTTGATGTCGACAGCCGTCATGTATACGAGGATGTAGTGTGTCCGTGAGCTGGATATTTGTGAGGTTCCCAGAAGATGGCGAATGTGGCTCAGCACGTATCGTCGTACAGGCGCCGCACTGGTGCCGAGGGCCATGTTGGAGAAATACACGATTCCCAATCCCAACCCTGCCCACGGTAGCAGTTCGTCGCGCTTGAGTGTAGGCAGTGGACAGGATCGAAGGTGTTCGACGGCCATTGCGCCGCGGTGTAGATTCGCTTCCGGGTCGTATTCGCCCGTCTCCAATCCCATTGATGACGCGAATGCGCTATACATGGCGATGTAGGCGTCCTTGCCCTGGTCGAACATGGAAAATAGATGGACTGTCATGTCCAGCTGCATGCTGTCGACGAATGTTGGGCTGATGAAGTACTGCATAAAGTTGGACTTGTGCAGTAATCGCGATAAGGAATTGCGTTCGACGGTATCTAACCGGCCCAGCGTGCTACCGTATGGACTTAGTGACTCAAGGATCTTGGAAGGAGGACTCGATGCCGACTCGGTTGACGAGTCGGACGAAGCATCGTCGGGAGGGCTGCCGACGCTCGAGGCCGTCGCTATACTCGGCTTTCGTGATACGGAACACGGCGGGGAGCTAACGCGGGCGACAGTCGTCGTTGTTGTCGTCGTCGGCGGCGCTGTCGTCGGGACGATCACGTTGGCCTTTCGAGGAATCGGGTTCGGGCATGGCACACCGGCGCCCATGATCTTGCTCCTAACTGCGACCTTTGACCTCCCCTTGACTGCTGACCTCGGCACGGGGCGTACAAAGACGCAGTCCCGGCCGTTCATCATGCAGCGATCGCATTGCGGGTTACCTTCCGAGAAGGTGCATTTTGACTTCTGATAGTAGCACGGCGCGCACGCCTTTGCGACGGGCTGGAGACGGAAAGGGTCAGCATGGTGACGACGGAGGGGCAGAGGCGCCGAGGCACCCCGGTGTTTGGTGGTCAAGGAAGGGAACACATGGTCGAGTGATCGAGGTGGCTGAAGGCGACGATGATATATCATGAACGCCGATGACGTTCATGATAGTACATCAACACTCAACACCCGATGAAAGTGGAATGCCTCGACGGAGATAGGCGATGACGAGAAGTTGCTGTGCTGCACTCACCATTGTGAATCAAGATTCAGGTGGGGTAGTCCATTCGATGTGCTCCAACAGACAAAGTTCTGTGGGGAGAGAACAAGAGTGACACGGCCAGGACACGCAAGAAATCTGGGTCGATAAAGGCCTGTGGCGGGTCGTTGATGATTAATACGTGTAAGCGTTGCGTTCTCGGGATTCTGTCTCTCTTCAAGGTGTGAATCCTCCTCGATTTCTGTATTGCCAAGGTTGAATAGCCGTCGTCCTCGGGTTGATGCTGTGAGCTTTTGGTGGTGCGGGCAGAGAAGGTATGTGTGTGTGCAGTCCGGGTTCGTTGAATGTAACTGGCAAGTCGAGAGTGCGTTGAAGAGTACGTTGGGGAACCGGCGTTGCAGCGGACGGGCGAAGATCAGTAATTGCCGAAGGAGTTAAGGAGGAAATGGGATGTAGAAGTGATGTTATGTTATGGTTGTTGGGCAGAAGGAGGAAGACAAGACAAGACTACAGTCTACTGGTAGGGGGCCTGGGATGTGAGATTAAGCTTCGGGCATGGCGCGCATGGATTTGATCGAGCGAGCAGTCAGGCTGAGGGAGCGGTCTGATCCATGGTGATCATGAGGGATTGATATTCGGTATCGGGACGACGGAGACTCGAGGCGTTTGGTTTGGTCTTGTTTGGTGGGCTTGGGTGGTGGTCAAGTACTACAGACAATGTATCCTGCAACCCCCCCTTTTGAGAAGTGTAACCTGACGGAGGGGGGGGGGGGGGAACCAGGGGTTGGACGAAGGAGAACGGGGAAGAGAGAGGACGAGCAGGTAGACCCAGAGAGGGTCAAGGCTACTAGGAGTCTAGGGGAACGGAACAAGCAGCCAGCTTGGGGTGTGTGGGCAAGCAAAAAGACAAGGTAGGGATTGGTCAGGATGGGATGGGGAAGGCAATGGGAGACGTGGGATGGTGATTTTGGATTAGGCAAAGCCGCCGCGAGGCAACGGCTGTGCTGGAGGGTATTCTGTTTGCTTGGCTTCTATGGCTTGGAACGCCGCTTTGCTCGCTCGTTTGGCGCAGAGAAGGATGATGAAGGTGACAGAAGGTAATGATTTGATGATGAAAGGCGGAACAAATTTAGGGGTCCCCGACTACGACCTTCATCAGTAACCGGAGCCAGCCATGTACGGATACATGCCTCCAGTCTCTTCAATGCTCATTTCTGTTGGCATATTGAAAGGCAGAATGGGGTGTGCTGATGTACCAGCACTAACAGAATTCCCCTCCACCATCTTCTCAGGCTCCTCTCTCTCCCTCTTCCCTCTCACCCTCTCTCTCACTCAGCTGCCACCATCTAGGATCGATGTCTGGCGGGCTGGCGACCGCATGCGGGTATACAGAACTAGCGTCTACGGATGCTAGCTGGCAATACATGCGCCAGTCCGTGCGCATCAGAAGTAGAGTACGAAAGATCCAGCAGAGAGAGCAAAGGAGACTGCTGAGTGGTGAGTGGTGAGTGGTGACTCGGTGAGTGTGAATAGAAGATGAGAAGAAAGGGAAACGAAGCCTGTCTTGCTCGTCAGCCCGAGCAAAGCACAAGCATGGAAGGCTTGGCCTCGCACATGTCTTCCTGTGAGAATAGTCAGTACAGCCTGTACGGTACTTCCGACGTTCTATGATATCCACGTACGTAAAGACTACTCCGTACACACTTTTTCGTATCGACATAGTTGTATGCTGGCCCTTCAGTGAGTCTCTCTGAACGCTACACTTCCATCGCTTGGCTTCAACCAGCGGCCTTGCTTGCAACACTGCTCCCCCCCTGAAACGTCGAGGCGGTGCAGTCACAATATGGGCACGCCCGTTGGCCCTTGGGAAGCAGAAAAAGAGTGGCCCGTTTTGACTTTTTCCCTTGCACTCGCACGGACTTTGTGTTAAAGCAAGGGCAGAAGCGAGGAGAGACACGCATGCCAGACTCCAGAGAGGGCCACCGCAAAATGGTAGTCATCAGGCCTGGGTAACTGTATGGAGTACCTGTATCCATAGGCTTACTACTAGTAGTAGTCCCGTAGAGACTACTACGTAGGTAGTATGAATATCCGCAGAGAGTGGAGGATCAGAGGATGTTCTGGGGACCAAGACCGGGACTGGGGGGCCCACAATGATGAATCCAAGGAGTGGAGGAGAACGCTGTGATGCCCCCGAAATTCAGGGCAGCCTGTTGAAGATCAGATGGGCTCGCGGGTTGTTTCTCCCAGCCCGCCTACTGCTGGCCCGTACGAATACTCGCTCTTAGGCTTTATGCTGTCCATCAACACCCTAGGCGATGCCACTTGATGGTGCTATAGCTACGAGAGAAAGCAATAGGTAGATAGTCTTGGACATCAGTGTCATTGCTGCTGGGTGGCAGGGGAGCTCCCGGCTCATGCTGGCACCGAGGGGGCTTGATGTCATTTCATCTTCTCCATGTGCATGGAGAGCACGAACCGCCTTGCTGTCTAACTTATTTCTACCGTCTCTTGCGCACTCTGATGTGCCCCTCAGACTCTGGCACGATTCGTGCGCTTGTGCTCAAACCAGAACCAAAGTGTGTCATCTGCCCTGGCAGACAGGCTGAGGATGAACGTGCAGTGAATGTTGCGAGCCTAGTGAAGTTGGAAACAACGCTCGATGGGTATTCGCACAACTCACAAGTACACTTACTTCGTACCGGTACTCCCAGCCCTCGACCTGGCCTGCTTCTGAGCATTTGCGCAAACAAGATAGTAGCCGGGTTGATCGAGACCCTGGCTTTGGCGTCTTGGGGCTAGCTCCCGGGGGCCCGCGTCCCGGTTCAAAGTGACAGAACTGGGGCAGAGCTGGGAGGAGCTGAGAGATGGCGCGGGGTGGCACCGTGGGAATCAGCCCATGAGCACAGAGCGAGATATGGACTGTTCCGACTTCTTTTTGTTTCTGTGCCACTTGTTTCGGTGTCCCTGACGACTAGACTGGTCGAGACTTGGAGCGTCCTATGTTGGCACGCAAATCAGGAACCAGCACGAGGTTGGTGTCTCAGAGACGAAGTGTCGTTCAACAACAGATGTTCTATTCCTGGGAACTAGCCTCTAGGTATTGTAGACTTGCGGGCACCGGGGAAAGGTTTCTGCAGGCATGGGGCGCTGCAATCTGCACGCTGCTTGAGCTTCTGTGGTGAACGGATATACCTGGTACCATCCTGCAAGTCGTCAATATTTCCTGATCTGCAGAGCCTATGTCTCGACATCTACGGCTTAGCATTGATAATGTCTGCCGTATCAGGTGGCTAGAAATACCCATCTCTCGCCCACCCGTCACGTTCATCAATCAGACCCAAGCCTATTTTAGCCGCCAAGCTTGTCCTGGTTCGTCGCAGCAAGCAGAGTGTTGAGAAGGGGGCCTGCAAGTCCGCAGGTCCGCAGTGATTCCGTGGGATACAAGGATGATTATGCAGCGGGTTTATCCCCCCTCCATCCCCATCTCCAGAGTCCAGGGTTCAAGGACATGCAAACCACTGCAGGCCTGCAAGGACTACAAGCGAGGTATTGCTAACCATTACCCAATGATCTAATGACCTTCCAAGACGCCTCAAAGATGTCTGGTGTTGCGTTCTGGTCTGAGAGAATCTATTAAAGCAATAAGATGGGCACATGGATGTCGAGCCCTCGTCCATAACAATGACATGCCGCTAAAATGGCCACATGCCAGGACAGTTGGAGAGATCACGCTTTCTAAGCTGACAGCTGAGTCGTCATCCTGGATAACTCCACCGGAGGCAATTTGCTTCCCTTGATTGTCCCACGTGGGAGGGGCCAGATACCGCTCCCGACACTATGGCCTCAATCTCCTCTCTCCGTCTCGATCTGCACTGCACCTTTCCCATGTGCCTCAATGGGAGGCAATGATGGCCAGGAATAATTAGCCCCTATCCCGGCAGATGCTGATTTAGCCCCCAAAAGAACGTGCACAATAGACTCGAGGGACGAGAAACCCAAGACATCAAGGTCTAGATCAACAACACCGGAGTGAACGAGATTGTTCATTCTCGACATAATCTCACAGGAACAGGTCTCCAAAGCCAAGCACGTAAGCACATAGACAACCAAACGGACTGCGTATTGTCTGCAACCGAGTCTGATAACACACCCTACAGTCTCAATAGTCAGTCAAATCAACCATATTATTAGCCTTTCCACCCCGTTAGCCCGCATCTGTTAAACACACTTTACAATCCCTCCCCAGGACGCTAGGCGCCTCCGGGCTAGGGAAAAATGCGACAAGCAGTCAGTCGAAAGCTTCGTGGTAGCACTTACCGGCTTGCACGGCAAGGTCCTTGGTTCTTCCCAGCTTAAGCCAAGCATCAAGTTTGGGCGAAACGCAAGATGACTCCACGCAATTCCCTCCCCTCCCCTCCCCTCTCCCCGTCCAACGTTCGCGCGCGGTGATCAAGCCAAAGGAGCCTCACAAACGGTGACAGAAACTTCAGAACCCTTCACAATCGACCTCAATTGGGGCCTAAGCCTTGGCAACCATGGGCTTCGATTAGATGGCATCGGAACGGAATGCCGCTTTCTGGACTTGGCTTGGCTCATGCGCCAGCCGCGCCTTTCCTCTTCAGCCTTTGCTAATGACAGTATCCCCGAGTTGCCCCCTTGCCTTGCGGCTTGGCAACCTTAGACATAGGCATTGCTGCGAGCATTCAGGAAGGGATGCGTCGCACCGTCGCCAAATCTTTCTTCTTGGCAGGCAGACAACGGCATCTCTATCGCCGCTCCACGCCCTTCTCACTCTAGGACTACTGCGTCAATGAGGCGAGGTATCGCCATCACGAGTGGGCATTTGAGGCTTGGCGCGCGCCCTCAGCCATCAGCCATCGAGATTGCCAAATGTCCCATTTTTTGCCCCTAGAACGTCCCAAGTTTGATTTGGAAAGATGTTCACGCCTCAGGGTTTCACGGGCTCGGGCTGTAACGTGGTTGTTGACTCGCAGAGAAACAGATTAGGAAACATGTGCCTATGCTATACAAAAGAAGCTACTGGAACTTCTTCTTGCGCATCAGACATGCAATGTAAACTTTCGGGCGGAACCCGAGTGTCGCGTAGTTCATCCTTCATAGTCCCATCCGAAGAGAGTCGAATCGCTGGGCAGACTCAAGGTCATCGTCAAGGTTTAGGGCAGAGATATTACCATGGCGAGAAGGTCCAGCCCCATCCTTTCCACATGATCGTATCATAACGACACCTCTCTGCTTCCTTTTTCTCTGATTATCAACAAGCCACAGAGAGGCTCTACGAATCGGTACCGTGGCCTGCCCTACGAGCTGAACCACCACTCCTCCTCCAACCCAACCCCAGATTTTAGGGCTCTCTGTTGGAAACCGTCCCTGCAGGGGGGGGCTTTTCAAAGAGACCGAACCGGATGAGAAGCCATACCCCTCCACGCCCTCTGACCTTTCCCTCCCTGGATGTTCTAACTATGGTGAGCTCAGTCAAACTTGGCTCTAGCAACTCCCTGCCGCTGGCGGAACGTTTCTGGGAGCATCCCGGGGCCCTTGGCAAGCCCTCGAAACTCAAGCCGCCTCGCTGGCGGGGCCGCATTTCTCGTCCGTCAAAGCTGGTAGCTCACAGACTCAAAGTCCACACTTTTTACACACAGAAAAATCAAGGTTCAGCCAGACCCCGGGTCTGGCCGCGGATCATCTCCCCTCCTGCTTCTTTGGATATCATGCTCTTGGCTGTGTCGGACAGCTCGGACGCCCGCTGTCGTCTTGGAGCGGGGGACCCTGCCTTCTTTTCTTCCCCTGCCCCTCCACGAATACCTATCTCGTCGTTCTTCAGACTCCATTGTCACTCGGCCCTCGGGGCGCCCCCCGACCATTGATAAATGACAGTAATGTTAACGGCTTCCCTCAACGTGGTCAATTATCTAAACCTCGGAAGAGGCCGCGGACGGTTCGTGATCATAAGCGAAGACAGATTGCAGTCCTAGCCTCATGGATATCCAAGCTACCCGGGCGAATCAGAGATGCTACCGCTGGACAGCCCTGACGACATAGCGTAGCAGTCTGGATAATTCGCATCGCAATATCCCAAGGGGGCTGGGCTGTGATAATGCTCTCGACCTGGCCATGAGATTCAGATCATTGAGATGCGGTGATAATTATTTCCGTACAACTTGTTCAGTATGGACTAATCCGAGTCGTCGCTGGACTAATCTGGCCCGTAACCACAACGTGACCACGGCTCCCAGACTTGGCATGAGGGGACACCTCTTTTTTTGTTCTCTGTCAAACCTCAGTTGACTCGAGTCGACTCAGAGACGTTTCGTTCGTACCTCTTCAAAAAACGAGCTGGCAAATCACAGCCGTTGGTGTCACAAGATTTCCAACACTAGCGAGTCAAGAAGCTCACAAAGGGCCATGCTTTCCCCCAAGAGAAGAGGGATCGATGATCGTGTTTCCGTAGCCCGTGGGTAGGTGGTTGGTCGAACGCCTAGACACCATGCTGGCGCCGGACGACAGGTCGCCCGTCGTATCCTCTCCCACGTTATCCGTAAAGCAAAGGCAAACGTCGTATTCTCTCTCTGTTTCCTCGGCAGGGAAAAGAACACGACCTGTGCTTCCAATGGGGAAGCCTGACTCGGGAAGTTCAGGCTTTGGCGAGTGCTCACAACGATCAACCCAACCTCCTTGTGGAAACCCATGCCTCAAGCAGAAAATGCCGTGACCTCCATAAGTCCCGTCCATAACGTCGTACGCCCGTTCCCCATCCCGAATCACCCCGCGAAAGTGAAGCTCGGGCTATCACCCGGCCGGTGATGCAGTGGGAGCCCGGTATCCCTCCGCGTCTACCTTCCCGCAGTTCCCGGTTGTGGATCTTTTTTGGTTCTTCTTCGTCCGCGGCTGTCTCGTCTCTGTCTACGATCCCGCTGCCAAGTACCCAATCCCGATTCGCAGTGTCCTCTTCTCGATCTTTGCCCCCCTGATTATCGATCAAAGAGAGGAATCCGAGCGTCTACGCAGGAGACAACGTAAGACAGGAGGGGTCCTGGCCATGATCCGTTGCCGAGAAGTTTTCGATCTGTCAAAACCTCTCCCCGTGATGAAGGGTGGGACCCATATGCTCCGCAATGCGGGCGCAGGGCGGACTCGGTAGTTGAGATTAGATCGAACTTGAGGCTCCGTCACCGCGTGTCCGCCGATCTGGGGAACTCGACTGCGTTCCAACGGTCACGGTAATAAAGGAAAAAATCGTCTATTTTTTTTCCCCTTGCAGAAGTAAACCCACAACCCGGTGTCTTGGGTTCGGCCCGTCTTTGATACTTTTGATGTTGGTGTCTTTCGGGCGGTTCTCTGATCTCTCGATAGGCACCAGTTAGTTCAGCGGAACTCTGGAGGTTCCATCTGAAGTTCGAATGGTCACTCCTGGCAGCTTCCAGGCATACTATCTTGCCCCTTTGCGTTCGTTGGTGGAAAGATTGCTGGCAACATCAGTTCCAGAATGACTACCATTCTAGCCACGCTGTCAACCTCGAGGCCGACGTGATATCAAAGTCTACCGGTGCTGCCGACTGATTCCAGAAATAACATCCTCTCCGGTCTGCAATAGATTCCTATAGTACCACAGGCTGACAGCATCACGCCCTCTCTCCTTGGAATCGTTCTCGCAAAAGTTGCACATCCGGCAGCGTGGACGTCTAATTCCGTAATTCCGTAGTCTATCTCTGGCTAAACTTCCCCAGGATGACCCGGTGACGAAAGCCACCTCCGCATCGCCCGCCCTCCCCGCATCACCACCTCCAGGCTCCCCGTGCTCGCAATGACCAATTCGCGTCGGCAGTTCTTTCATTGGCCGTTTAAGCTTTCCTCGGACGCCAGTTGTGTCGCCGACGTAATTTCGAGTTGCGAGAGAATGGTGATTTTCCAGCAGTCCTTCTAAAGTTTGGTGATGTCAGGTCTTTGGGTTTCGGAACGGGCTTGTAAGACGGATTTATGTACGAGATGGTTGACCGGGTTTGCGGTTTGCCTGGCGCAAATACCGTACATGGAGTACGAAGATAAGATATTTATGTCGTGCCATCCGTGACGTCCAACCTTGGCGTGAGTTGTTCATCAGAGGCCCGAGTCGTGATCTTGCTGCTCGAATTCGCGGTAAATTCGTAGAGGTTGATAACGCCTAGGTATCTCGATCGTGCCTATTCTAGCTTTGTCAGTCAAAGCCCCAGCCAACCATGGGCTCCCCAATAGACGCGTTAGACCCGAATGACACCAGTCACACTTACACCGAAGTTGCCGGGCTCTTCTTCCGAAAGTACTGGCCGATCCTGCTCCCTCTCGCTGTGTTATTCAACGTCTTCCGCACCCGCTACCTGTCTCCGCTCCGTCGATATCCCGGGCCGTTCATCGCCTCAACGACCCGTTTATGGAAAGTCCTATCTACCGCATCGCGACGTACACACCTCGACCACATAGCTCTGCACAGGAAATATGGCCCGGTCGTGCGTATTGCGCCGAACGAGGTCTCCATCGCCTCGCCCGAGGCAGCGCGACACGTTCTGAGCGCCGGCAAGCGGTTCTACAAGACGGCGTTCTACGGCGTCTTTCCACCACCGGAGAATCCTGACATCTTCACTGAGGTCAACGAGGACGCCCACGCGAGGAAGAAGAAGGTCGCCAACGTTCCGTATAGCATGGCGGCGATGCAGCAGCTAAGCCCCTTCATTGATGATACCGTCGACCTGCTGGTTACTAAACTCGCCGGGTTCACGTCGCGGCCTATGGAGTACAAGGCTGACAAGTATGTTGATCTCGGGGCGTGGTTGCACTACTTTGCATTTGACGTGCTTGGAGAGGTGGCTTTCTCCCGAAGCTTCGGTTTCCTGGCGGAGGGCAAAGACGTGGAGGATGCCATCGCCACTATTGACCGCTCACAGGCGTACAATGGGATTGTCGGTCAGGTTCCGTGGGTTGACTTGCTTTTGCGGCGGAACCCTTTGTGGAAGCTATTCCCAACGTTGAATACGAAGAATGCGCCCATCACTCGGATTGCCTTGAGTGAGATGGAGAGAAGACGGCCTTTTGATAAGGAGAGCGAGGGCAAGCTGAGGAATGATGACGGGAGGCAAGATCTCCTAGCGAGTTTGATCAAGGGACACTTGAAGGACACTGAGAAATTTACCGAAGGTGACGTCTTTGCTGTTGCCCACGGCGCGATGTAAGTTTGATCAACGCATGAGAGTAGCCGATGCCTTGGACTGACGAACTTATAATAGCTTCGCTGGATCAGACTCGACAGCTTCGACCATGCAATCACTCTTCTGGCACATCCTTTCGGCGCCACACATTCACACAAGAATGGTTGCTGAAATCGAAGATGCCGTCAAATCCGGGTCGATGCCTCCAACTGGCAACATCTCATGGAAAGAAGCCCAAGAGCTGCCGTACTTTCAAGCATGCCTGAAAGAGGCTATGCGCGTGCGGCCAGCAGTAGGACTCAACATCAGCCGCGTGGTTCCACCAGAAGGAGCCGAACTCGACGGCCGATTCTTCCCCGGTGGGACGCAGGTGGCTGTCAACGGCTGGGTCTTGCACCGCGATAAGCGCACTTTCGGCGAAGATGCGGATGATTATCGCCCTGAGCGGTGGCTGGTAGATGTTGAAGAAGCAAAGAAGATGAAGCGATACATGTTCCAAGTGAGTAGACCAAGCTATTCTGGCGCTATTGAAGCTAACGATGATGTCCAGTTCGGTGGTGGAAGCCATGTTTGTATCGGCCGGAACCTAGCTCTGTTAGAAATCAACAAGGTCGTGCCGCGTCTCTTCAGAGACTTCAAGTTCGAGTTGGCGCATCCTGGCCGGCCGTTGAGAGCAAGTGCTACGTTCTTTGTTGTACAAGATGGCCTGGAGGTATTGATTGAGCGACGGGAATTGGCCTAGACACCTGTCCATGGTGCGAACATGCCAGTGTACCTGAGCAGAATGACTGTGCAGTAAGACTTTCGTAGCACTGCGACTGAATGAAGTTGATAATGTGTATCAACCCGACTGTGCTGTTTAAATACTGAGAGACTTTGGGGACATCGTAGATACTACTAGGCCGAACCTGACCACCTTACTGGAAGCGTCCGTAGGAGAATGGCTCAGACAAGTGACAACGAAGGCCGTCGTTGAATTCTGATCTCCCCCGACTTCCGGCCCGGGGGAGTGGTCGCCGCCTCATCTCTGCATACAACGTCGGACAAAGCCCGACGCTTAGCTGCCACATCGGAGCGAAACATGCCACTCGCGTGTCTTCATTGTGGGCTGGGATGATGCGAGACCAGGCTAAATCACCGGATTGGCTACGGAGAAAATCCTTATTCTGCAAGCTCTTAATCGACAATCCAGTGTGCCAGTCAAACACGACCGACTGCGGAATCGCGGTGTTGCTGCGGGGTGTCAGATGCGGTATCACCATCGCGGCGGGATATGGCGTCACGCCGGGCTCGGCCCCGACCCCACCGAGGCTGTCGTTATCTCCAACCCGGAGCCGTGGGCGGCCAACTATCGGGGAACTTGGGTGTTTTGATAAAAGTGCTTGCATGACCCGGTTCCTGCAGCTCTGATGTGCAGGTGAAGCGTTTTGTAACTTTGAACTCTATTTGAGAACTCGAAACGACGAAATGGGGAGCACAAGCCGGCCACAGCAGCTTCAAGTTGCCATCATCGGCGCAGGTATCGCCGGTTTGACAGCTGCGATCGCGTTGAAAGAACACCCATGCATCAACGTTCAGATATATGATAAGGCGACAGAGCTTCGAGAAGTCGGCGCTTCTATTGCTCTGGGCCCGAATGGCCTGCGTACGTTGGAGAAGCTGGGTGTTCACAATGCTCTCGACGATTCGATTGCTTTCCGCAACAAGTCGGGTTATCCGATGATCTACCGGTGAGTGCGCCAATGATACATGGTGTGAGGAACGACCCTGATCACAGAATTAGCCATTACAAGACCGGCGAGATCGTCTCGGTAGATGAGCACCACGGAAGCGTGGAGGCCCGCCATAAGACGGCAAGATTCCACCGTCCGCATCTGCAGCAGGCTTTGCTCAAGCACATCGACCCTGCCCACATTCACCTCAAAAAGGCCTTCAAAAACATCGAGAATGAAGAGTCAACAGGCAGGCTGAGGATCACATTTGTTGATGGCACCGCCGTCACGGCAGACATCCTCCTCGGCGCGGACGGCATCCACTCTGGAGTGCGGAGCTTCTACGTCCCGTCATCTCGGTCAAAGTGGACCGGTTGGACAGCATTCCGTGCGGTGTATCCCGTTTTCCATCTGTCTCACATCCCCGATATTCCAGACGAGGCGGAGCACTGGTGGGGGATCGATCGGACGTGGTTCATGTCGAAGCTTGGCAAAGATCTGTTCTGCATCGTCGCGTCTCACCAAAGCGACCCTGACGCCCCGGATGCCCTGTATAAAGATACGGTGTGGAATACTGGCAGCGACATCAACTTGCTCAAGAAGCACTACAGCGAGTGGCACCGTCTGGTGCGCGAAATCATCGAGGCGACGCCTGCGGATTCATTGAAGGTGTATCCCAACGCTTCTGCCCACGGGCTAGAGAGCTGGGTTCTGGGCCAGGATAGAGTGACATTCGCTGGCGATGCGGCGCATGCCCATGGTGGAGCTTTCGCTGCGGGGGGGAGTCTCGCGATTGACGACGCCTGGGCTTTTGCGGCATCGATCCAGCACGTGTTTCCACCTTCAGCTACGGAGCTTCCGTCGGCAGCAGACATTGCGAAAGCGCTGAAGTTGTATGAGAAGACCCGAAAATCACACACGGATAGAGTGCTTGATACAGTCCATTCGACGAATAAGAAGAAGGTCGAAAGGCTGGCTGTGGTGGAGAACGATGATGGCTTGCGGGAGAGGATGAAGAATCGGGTCGAGCCTGTTTGGATCCATGAACATGATGTCGAATCGGTATTCAGGCAGGTTTTGGCGCAGGAAAAAAGCCTTGAAGTTTCAGGAGCGACATCGAATCCGTCAGAAGTACAGATAGAAAGCCGCCTTTAGATACCGAACATGGTGCTCCGAAGTTGAGAAATCTTGGTGGCTCTTGTGAGAGAATCTCCCAAGAAACCCCCTAGAAGTGGCAGCAATGATGGTGGTATATCCGCCCTCGGCCATACTATGTGGATGCTTTCGAAATGCTATAGCAACGAGTAGGTCACCTATTTGACAAAGATCTGATCATCTGCCGTGTATCACACTTCGTCAGCACTGCTCGAATCACGCCTGAATACTCATGGGGGATAATTGCAGTTTCCCAAGCCCCGTGCTGATATTACAATCGTAGGAAGCTGCACTAAACGGGAGACAATGGTTTCGAGTAGATGGAGCGGTCCTTTGTAACCCTAGTCAAGATGCTCTTTGGTGTTGTTTGGTGTTGGTTGGTGTTGGTTTGCGAGCAGCGGCAGGGAAGGGAGCTGTAGGTACGTCCCTGCGCCAGTCCCATTAGATCCCGCTGGTGGTCTGTGCTGACTCACACTTCGCGGCTCCACTCTGACAGGGGTGATTGGCCAATATCGTGGCCGTTTTCTGACTATTCCGGGCTAAGCGCCGGTCCCTAGTTGTCCCTGCTTCTCGTCCAATCATTGAGCTCGTACGGGTCCTTTCTGCGCTCCTTCCCGTCTTGCAGTGTGATGCAAGTACCTTCGTACCTTCGCATCTCTCCCTTCCTCACTGAGACCTGCGAGCTGCGAGCTGCGACATCCCAGCGATCCTCATCCTCAGCCGCTCTTCCTTCTCCTCCCAAGGACGACGCCGGGAGGCTGCATTCCAGTACGAAGTGTTTGCTTCTTTCTCCCCTCTTTCGACCCTTGTTGTGTGGCTGCTGCGCCCGTTCTCTCGCTCGCGACCTTCCTTCCTCACCGACCGTTTACCCCGCCGAGCGGTTGCGACCAACGCGCAGAATGCCTTCTTAGTACTTCAACTTCTTCCCCGACGTGCAAATACCAACATGGCACAACATTGCTTCTACGCAATGCTTCTTTGATAACTGGCAATACGAAGCGATAGGCTATGAGGCCGAATCTATGCCGTCTGTTCACTCTACACACCAGTAGGCATGCTCTCAAAGCTTAGACATGGACTTGGATTCTGACTTCCCTCTCCGCTCAAAGCTCCTCGATTCGATCATGGCACCGCACACGAAGACCGCTCAGTCAGCTCCGAGAACCCCGAAGAAACCTACACAAACCGACCCAGTCAGAGATGTCATCGACAAGCTCAATCGAGAATACAACCTCGCCATCGAGATACCCGATGTGACACTTACACCGTCGTCGACCCGGCAGCGCGCCAAGCAAGACACCGCTTTTGCCCGCAGCGAAAAGATTGTTCGTGGCATCCGATTCCATTGCTTCCAAAGCAACTTGCTGGACAGGATTCTCGATTCCTTTCACATGGAAGCTAGAGCTGCTAGTGAGAAGTGGATCCGGTTTGATGATGCCGAACCTGGAGGGGCTCTCAAGGCTGAATCACCTGGCCAATTATTACAGTTGCAGGTACTTCTCGACGACATTTTGGATAATGCCTATGCTCAGATCAAGGCACACAAATTGACTCGGAATCACACCGGACCAGCAGTCTTCGCCTCGACTGAATCAAGCAAGTCAAAGAGGAGATCCGAAATAGACAGCAAAGCCGAATCACCCAAGAGAGCCAGGGGAAGTCCCCTACGGGGAGAGGAGAGAGAAGGTGTGATTTCCAATGCTCTGGACAAAGTTCCAAGCCGTTCTCGATCAGCAATACCCGAAGCTATGCCGGCTCAGTTCATTAGGGAGGCCCCGAGGATGAACAAATCTTTCGATACATCCCTCTATACTTCGACTTCGATGCGCCAAAGCGTGTACGGGACTGTTTCCCGCACGACATCTGCGAGCACTAGTCGGACGTCACTCTTTTCCAAGGCCGATGATCGACTACCGGGCAGCCAAGAGACAGTCCTAGTTCCACTTGAGGAAGAAGAGATGCGCCGCGAGTTTCTGGATCAAGCACCAACTTCCTCACAGTCGCAGGACCTTTTCCCGGCATCTTCCGGTCATCTCGATGCACTGAACATCTCCTTCACAGAACACGAAGTAGAATCCGCAAAGAAGAGGTCTAGAACACCAGCAGATCTCAGTCGCGAACCACTCGGCAGCCCTTCTAAGAAACCAACCGTCTATTCAGAGATGCTTGGTCTTCAAGATCCATCCTTGTGCGAGCCCGTCTCCACTCCCCTCAAACGATCTGAGCCGGTTGATCTCCGATCCCGTCTTGACGCTTCGTGGCGTAAGTTTTTCCACTAATGGACGTTGAGGCAGCCGCATGACTATTGATACGGTTGTGAATAGATGAAGTGCTGACCTTTTTGCCAGCCAGATTTCCTCGATGGCTCAACCGCGCGCCGTTTGCTGTCGCATGGGAAATGACGCGCATCGCAGTGCACTGTGGAGTCGACCTTGGAGAAGTGATGATGGACTATGACGAATCGTGGATCAACTATAGCCAACTGTGGAAGGCTCTCTTAGCCCACCCCGATTTCGCTGGCAAATCGTTTCCTGAGCGTCCCAGTACCGACGCCTGGACTGCTGCCATGTCTGGCTTTAACACGGTCCGAGGACAGCACGTAGTCTTTTCGGCTCGTTTTGATCAAGTTCCTCGGGCGAAGAAAAAGGGCCCCATGTTCTCACTGTCAATGCAGCCCATCGCCTTAGATCAGGGCTGTCGTCTGCACCGCCATTTCGGTTCCGACCGGTTTCTCGAAATCTTGATCCCAAATCCCAAAGGGTGGCATGAACCCATCAAAGAGCCCGAAGTGTCACAAGAGGTCGTCCATTGGTTCTCCTCAAAGCGGCATTACCTCGCAGGCAGGCAGTGGCGGGCATTCTTCTCCAGAGATGCCGGATACAAGACGCCACAGAAAAACCTGAACATGGGCCCTGAGCCAAAGCCCGTCTATCAAGACAGAATCAGTCTCTTCGCCGAGAACGGCAACAACTTCCATGTAGCTCTCCCTCTTGGGAAATCTTCTCATGACAACCCTCGGGAGTTTAGGGTCAAGCTCAGCACTGGAGAGATGCTTGCCTGGCTTCTTCAATTTGAGCACAACAAGGAACAGCCATTTCTCAAGTTATTCTCCCGTATCCAGCTTGGTGAGAGAGGGACATACAAGTCTGCAGTCTGGAACGTCTACTGATCCGCTTCACAGGATTGAGCAAAACGACGCCAGTGGTCGTTCTCGAGCCCAACCAAATACGTCACCGGTCAAAGGACATGCGCTCGCCCACCGACATGGTCATGAACGACGGAATCGGCCTCATGTCTCGCGCACTTGCCCGGAAAGTCAGAGATGTTCTCGGACTAAGTGATGTTCCGTCTGCTGTTCAGGGTCGCTTTGGTTCTGCCAAGGGTATGTGGATGATCGACGTCCTTGGTGACGACGATAGCCTGTGGATAGAGACGTGGCCATCTCAACGGAAGTGGAATTGTGACTATGATGATCCAGAGCATCGCACGCTCGAAATTAGTGCTCATTCAATGGAGCCACGATCTGCTAGCCTCAACGTCCAGTTCCTTCCAGTCCTCGAAGATCGAGCCAAAGACAGAGAAGCGATGAAAATAACCATTAGCAAAATCCTCGAAGACGAACTTTGTCGTGCGCTAGAGGAGCAAAAGCACGCGATGAAATATCCCTTGGAGTTCCGCAAATGGATCGTTGAAAATTCTTCCACGAGAAAGCAGCGCCTTACCTTTGGACGGGTGCCTTTCTTGGCTGGTCTTCCGGAGTCACCAGAAGAACGCATGAACTTCCTTCTGGATGGTGGATTCGAGCCAATGAAGCAGAAATACCTTCAAGAGATTGCCTGGACGCTAAGGCGAAACAAGTGCGAAAATCTATTGAAGAAGATGAGCATCAAGGTGCCCAACTCGGCGTACTTCTTCATGGTGGCTGACGCGTGGAACATACTCGAAGAGGGCGAAGTGCACGTGGGCTTTTCGTCGAAATTCCAGACCGAGACCTTTTCGGACTCCATGCTCCATGGTTGCGACGTTCTCGTGGCTCGTTCTCCAGTACACTTTGTGAGCGATGTTCAGAGGGTGAAGGCTGTATTCAAACCGGAGCTACATGCTCTCAAAGATGTCGTTGTTTTCTCAGCTAAAGGGAACGTCCCTCTAGCGGACAAACTGTCAGGTGGTGACTATGACGGCGACAAGGCATGGGTCTGCTGGGAGCAAGCAATTGTGTCAAACTTCGAAAATGCAGAGGTATCGCCAAGCCCCGACTTGTCAAGCTACTTGAGGAAAGACAAAACAACTTTTGGGGACCTTGTTGAAGAGCAGGGCGAAAAAGCTATATCGGAAATGATCAACCGCAGCATTGCCTTCAGCATGAAGCCTAGCTTCTTGGGTATTGCAACCGCCTACAAGGAGAGACTTTGTTACCATCTAAACTGTGTGAACAACACTTACGCCCTCTGGTTGAGCGCCCTCCTTGGCAACCTTGTTGACCAGGCCAAACATGGCTTTGACTTTACGACGGAAGATTGGCATAGGTTCTGCCAAGAGCGGCTCGACAGTCACCGATTTAACGGGTTGCCAGAGCCCGCTTACAAGTCTGAGAGTTGGTCGCATTCTGGGACACCAGTCCACATAATTGATATTTTAAGGTTCGTGGTGGCGAAGCCAGCCATTGAAAAGGAGCTGGCAAAGTTCCACAAGTCAATGTCCACGAGGTCGAACGAATTTGGGTATGAGCTGCGATCTCTTCGCTCGACCAAAGCTAGCGAAGACGAGCTTATAGCGGAACTGTGGGATCCTGACCTTGCCAAGCTTCACGAAGAATTTGGGAAACTTGCAACGGAGAACTTGGTGTTGAAGAAGATTTTGCGAAATCTCAAGACCGACTTGGAAGGTGCTGAGAAGAGTTGGAGCAAAAAGGTTGGCTCGAGCAAAGACAAGGATAACACGAACCGCGCCATACTCGAAGTATATGAAGAATGGCGCTCGATTCGACCCCGTCCAGATGG